TAACCTATAACCTATAACCTATTTAAAAAATGCACTACTTTCTCTCCTTATTGCTTCCCAGCCATTTTCTAACATGTGAAACTATCGTGTTGGAATTGGAAAGCTTCAAAAAAAAAGATGTAAGGAGCTAAGTAGGAGATATTTTTCCATGCTTCTAAATGTGGAGAATATTTAGAGCAGTTTTAGAGGTAATATAGGTTCCCCCTCATTGCTTGCAACAAAAGGGAAAGCAGCAGAACCCTGGAAAGTTCTGTTGATTGTTGATTCTTGAGCATCAGACTCTGTTCTTGTTTTTCTCCATGTATTTCTCCATTATCATATTTATATAGCAATTAAATGTATGCATTCAAATATGCTATATTTTCATTTGTTTTCAGCATTTCTATATAAATTATTGTAATTATTCCTAAATTTGTATCCATGTCAAGAAAATGAGGGGTTTTTTTACAAATCTTTTTTGCTACCCCAAGCCCCTCTGAGGTTTTTCAGTTACAGACTCTGAAAGACTTGGCAAGAACTACTTCTTAAGATTCAAAAGTTATAGTGCAGAGGGGCCTTTATTTCCCCAGTGTGGGATAGATAAATTCAAATGTACCAAAAGTGTCATCCTAATGTAATGATACCCATTTTTAATACCAACTTCATGGGTAGTCACTATTTACTATACCAACGACAACAAAACTATGTATCAAATTGGCCACTGTTTTTGGTTAGGCGTGGATATGCACATGTAATTTTCTGTACTTGTACTAGCATACACTGGATTTTCTTGTCACTTTCTCCATTATAATGTTTCTCCTAAAGAAAATGAAATTGTTGGCAAAAATGTTATAGGTTTCCTCATAAGTATCTATGTGTTATACAGATTAATTCTAATAAGCTTCTGAGGTTAAACAATCTCATGCTTTAGACAAAACTATTCTATATATCGAGATTGAACATAGGAATTCAATCACTATTAAATCAAGATACTATAAATTGAAATTCAAAATTAAGTTTTTTATTTTTACTATAATATTGTAGATTCTTCAGCAGATATATTCTAAACTTTAAGACTTTAGTTTTGCAAATATAGTTTCAATGGGACCTGGTTTTTAATTATAATATTTTCATATGCATTCTTGGGACTTATTCTAATTTATTTCATAATCATGAAGTTCTTTGTAAAATTCTTGACACATAAAATAAAGGTTAGAATGAAGCTCAATGAACTTACAGGAAAATGATTGTGTGAAGTTATTAGCTGTGACTAATGGAGTGAAAAATTAATCCTCAAAATTCAGCAGCTTGTCAGAGGACAAAATGTGGAGAAACTAAAAACAGACCAAACGTTTCAGCTGTAAGACACTGTCGGTTGACCAACACATATTTTCACTCTCTGGCAGCTCCCTGTCAATCCTCAGTCACAAATCTCCTTGGTATTTCTTAACAAAATAGAAATAATAATAGCAAAATGTTCCTAAAACCACAAAAGAGGAGTTATTTTTTTATTTTTATTTATGAAGATCCAGATTGTTGGGGGCAATATGCTGGGGGTAAACCGCTTAGAGAGGGCTGTAAAGCACTATGACGTGGTGTATAAGTCTAAGTGCTATTGTTAATGCTAATTCTATTTATTAACATCTACCAAGTCAATCCATTCCCTCATTCCTCAAGAAACAGAGAAAAGGTCTTTGATAGGAAACTGGAACTGGAAATGGGACTGGAAATGAAGAAGGCAACTGATTATATCATCCACTTTGTTTCTTCAAGCCAGACTCCACATTTTGCTTTGGATTATTAGAATGCCCATTATGTATTACAAGGTTAAG